TGCTACCTGAGAATTCTTCCGGAGTCTCTATTTCACCACTGCAGGCTGTGCTGCAATCCCAAAGGCACACTATTTGAATCCACCAGCTGCTCTCAGGGGGAAGGATCTGCTATCTCCCAGTTTCCTTTCATACCGTTTACTGCCTCTGAAAATCTGCGGAAGGGTCAGCTATTAATGGATTCTGACTTGACAGCACCTAACAACCACCACCACCCGTGCTGGCCTTCACTGGCAGGACCCTGAGGACACCTGAGGCTTTCGTTACTCTGATTTTAAGGACTTTTGATGCTATCAGGGCTGTGCTCCACAGAGTGACTGGCCTGCGGCATAAAGTCCCAAGGGAAAATGAAAAGTTCTGGGAGGTACTACGGAACGATGTATGCCCTACGTCAGTGTGGGTGTGAAGCACCTTAACTGAGGTTTTTCCCTGGGAAAGAATCACAGAAACCGCGACCTGTCACTTTCAGATCCTGAAATCTCATGTATCTGCTGGCCTTGAAGATTTGGAGCTTTTCAGCCTTGTGTGAAATATTTGATCAACATGTGGAGAGGGCCGTCATTTGGCTTCCCTCTTCTTCACTTCCAGTCCCACAATTCTCACAGTTTTGTTTCCACCTTGAACCTGCCCTCTGAACTTGAGACTTGAATGTATGTATGTTCTGCTCCCAGTCCTCCACCACCACTTGGTTGTCTACTGGCTCTTCCAGACTTCCGTGACCTAGAAAGAGCAATCGCTCACCACCTGCCTCCACCAGATTTCTCCCCGGCAAGCCTTTCCCACACCAAGGAAAAATACCCCATAATAATCTAGCTATCACAATAAAAAAAAAAAACAGGAGTCATCGTCGAGTCCCCCTTCCATGTACTTCACATCTGATACTGTCATTCTCCCTTCAGTTCCCCTCTGTTCACACCATCTCCCGGCCACAGCCTGGCCTACTCCACAGATATCCCTCAGCTGGAAGCTTACTATTGGTCCTTTTCTTGTTTTAAGGATAATCTTGCCAACTCAAGACCTTTAACTTTAATTATATATCTTTTATTCCCCCCTCTTTTTTTAAATGAATGTGTTAGGTTTTTTTGTTTCCTTTCCTCATTTCTCATCTCTACTAAGTCTCCAAGATTGATTCTATCTCTTGTGTAAACCTTTCCTTAGCTTTTCCTATTAGTAGTGTTAGACTGTAATTGTCCTTTTGTGACTAACTTGTGCCACTCGGAATAACTTGTTCTAATACCACCCATGTTTGTACAATGTTTGACAAATTCTTGATCCTTTTTTGGTGATGCCTAAATACTTCATTGTGTGAATGTATCACAGTTTCTTTAGCCACTCATGTGTGAGATGTGTTTAACTCTTTGCTGTTATAAATAGTACTGCAATGAACATGGCTGTGAGGATGCAGGTTTGTATTGCAGCTCTAATTTCTTTGGGGTATATACCAGTATGGGATTGCTCAATCAATTAGTTATTTCTATTCCCAAATTTGTAAGGAAGGACTGAACTGTTATCCATAGCCCTACTGGTCTTCTTGCTTCCACTCTCATCCCTCTTACACAAAGTGGCCTCTTGATATGTCTGTCACTCAGGTCACTTTGTCTTATTTAAATACATAGGGTCGCTATAGGTCGCAGGCGACTCAACAACACATAACAACAACATACTATATTAGTTGTTTTTTATTTAAGCCTCTTGTTTAGAGTCAGCAAGACCTTGGGGATGGCCTTTGTATTTCAAAGTCGGTTGTTATTATATTTTGGAGGAACATTCTTCTAAGTGGTACAGCACTCTTCTGTCAATATGCTATACTGAGGTAACGTGGGGTTGCTGTAATATTGAACCTTGTGCCATTGGGGTGTCAAGTGGCTTAACATTTATGCATGGTGGACAGTGTTTGGTAGAATTTCCAGTTTAAGACAGGTTTGGGAGCAGGAGTGGTATCCACTTCCTAAATAATATGCCTCTGGAAACTCTATGAACTTTGAGAAATTATGATAGTTATAGAAAGACTTCAGGTCTTTTCTTCATAGGGTCACTATGAGTCGTGCTCGACTTTATGGCAGTTGACAACAACAACAACAAACAACACCTTGTCTCTCACAATAAAATGTGATCTGTTTGCCATGATCTGTCACCACCCATGTGGTTGGCCCCTAGTCTACCTCTCCCTCTTTTCTTCTCCCCTTCTCTGTGTGTGTAGTGCGTCCCTGCCACACCTGACTCTGCTCTCTCTTCAGCTTTGCTCCTATCTCTGTCTTCCTTGAAACACCTTTCTTCCCCTCTCTTCCCTAACTGGACTTCAGCCAAGGACCCTCCAGAGAGGTCTTTCCACACCACCAAAGATCAAGTGTCTGCTTTTCCATTACACTTCATAGTTTGTTGGTGTATGTTTACTGTCTGCTGCCTTTGTTGGAACAGCTACTCCTTACGGACAAGTATGCAGCACGCTGTCTGTTAGAGCCTCAGGGCCTGAAAAAGAGAGACTGAATAAGAAAACTCTTGCAGTCAGCGTACAAGTCAATTCCACATGTTCAGAATAGAACTGTATTCCATAGGAGATTTTTGGTTGGTTGGGGTTTGCGAGTTTTTTGTATACTTATTATTAATAATAAATTTTTTTCTTTTAATTGTGATTTTAATGAAAGTTTACAGAAAAGTTGTATTTTCATTCATTCATTATTGCACAATTTTCTCCCTCCCCGCTCCCTAGTCCATTTTGCAGTGCACCTCTTATTCTGGACTGTTGTTACACTTAAAATGCGTAATATATTCCTTTTAAACAGTTATTTCCTTCATCTGTTCCAATGCAGTGTTCATTATCTATCTACTCTTTTCGTATTCTCCTCCAAACCTCCCACATCAGTCCTGCTTTATAACAGTGGTGTTATGCAGTATTTATCCTTTTGTGACTGAGATATCTCACTCAGCATAATGTCCTCAAGTGGCTGATTATTTGGAAGTAGATTACTAGGCCATTGTTCTGAGACACCTCTGTGTGGACTTGAACCTCAAACCTTTCAAATAGTAGACAAGTGATAACTGTTTGCACAACCCAGATATTCCTTGGTAAGGAGAAAGTATTCCTTTTAAGGTTGCATAAAGTTTTCTTAGCCTCCAGGCAGAACTCTCTCATTGCCCCTTTTCCTAAGCTGTAGACTAGAAATCCCTGGTTCCTTCCTTCCCTAAAACATGACCCAGAGACTGTTAGACACTTTGTCTTTAGACCAAGGGGAAGAATGGTATAATAGAGACCAGGCCAGGGAAGAGGGTAGAGCCCAATTCTGGCCTGTACACAAGGGTTTTACTATGTGGCTGGTGGGCAGCATCCAAATTGTATTTCCTCAACATGGCAACCTTGTGAGGGAAGTTCCATGCCATCCAGACACAGGGGCTCCTCAGTTCCCAGAAGAAAGTCCCATAGAAATGGAAAACAAACACCAGAGGTGATTTTCTTCCCGCCTCAGCAGAGTCAGACAGTAACCACAGGAGTGGTTTCCAAAGCTGGCTGGTAGAGCTTGGCTGGGCAGGGAGCACTTGGTGAGCAAGATCTAGGCCCAGGAAAATGGAGAAAATGTAGCCTAGATACACAGTCAGGCAAGTGCAAACCAAGCAGGACCCAAAGAGAGATGGGTCCGGAAACCTGGGTGAAGATGGGAGATTGGACCAGGAAGAAGACAAGAAGGAGAAGCAGAGGTCAAAACAGTGACCAGAATCCAGAACAGAGTGTAGGCAGGGGAGGGCCCGGTCCCCGGGCGAGGGCCCGGTCCCCAGGTGAGGGCCCTGTCCCCAGGCGAGGGCCCTGACCCCGTGTGTGGTCTGCAGGGATGAACTGAAGAGGGCAGTTAGCTCTGTGGCACGTGACCAGGCTCTAATGCTGGCAGAGTGTTCTGCATGGAGAGTAAAGAAACCACTCTGGGATGAGCGGTTTCTACATCCTAGGCACTAGACTAAGGACTAAGTACCTTTGGACGTCTTAGGTGAAAGAAAGCATGCGTAGTCCCAGAGGATGGAGGGATCTGAGATTGAGGGAGAGATTGGGAGTGGCTGGGTACATGCAAGTCCTTCTCAGAATCCAGAACACAAAGAAGGAACATGGCCTTATCAAGGCAGCCTCAGAACCAAGAGAGATGCCGAGGAAGGACTCTGTGTGTCACTGTCCTGGGCTCTGGTGGCATCATATTGGAGGAAGTCAGTGGTCGTGTGCTGGTAGTGAATGCAAACCTCCAATGGACTCAACCGCTAGACTCTGTTCATCTCATGGCCGCGTTTCTTGCCTTGACCTGTGGCTATCAATAATTTCAATGCTTTTATGACACTTTACATTTTTTTTCAAACACTTTCCCAAGTTATGCTGTTTATTGATGTCCACTGCTAGATTGTCAGGGGTCGTAAACAAGTGTCTTGAAGATTATCCCCTGTTGGACTTAAGCTGTGTGACTCTTGCTAAGTAACTTGCCTTCTCTGGGTTTCAGTGTGGAGTGCAAACATCACAGTCCATTCTCTACAACATAAAACAAGAAGTGTCTAAAGAGAGGCTGGTGATGATAGTGGGTTTGCCAGACTTAAAAAAACCTTGAAATCCTTAAGCCTTTTAATGAAACCTATTCCTTGGGTTCCAGGAAGACAAACCTGGGTGTGTTAAAATCTTTCCATTAACCCACATTTAAGCCCTAAATTCTCCCAGAAGCCTTATAGTTCTTGTCTTCTGAACTTTTTGCCAAGCCCAGTTTCGAGACAGGGAAGTGAAGGAGGAGTGTTTTATTCCTGGACAGTTCTATTTATAACTGGAATGTGTCTTCCTGCACCACCAGTGATTGGCCCCTTTGATGCCAAGGTAAAGTGCACTGTCAGCAAGGCCTGAGCGATAAATAGCCGTGGACGGAGGCAGATCTGTTATGTGGGCAGGGAATTAGATGGACAAGCTCATCAGGCTGCTGTCTTTGCCAACTGCAGCTTAATCAATTACACACTGTCCCTAAAGTCTGCCCTGTGTCCCTCCCAGCAGGACAAGGGGTCCATTCCCAACCACTCTGGCCATGACACAGATGAGGTCACCCAGGTGAGTCCCAGCAGCTCTGCCTGCAGTCAGAGGCTGTGCCGTCCGGATGTGGCACCTGACTCCTGGCTGCCCCCAGCCTGTGGGACAATGGACGTCTTGAACAGAGCAAAATTCTTTCACATGAGAATCAACATCTGGTGGTTAAGCTAAGAAAGGGGATGATGATGAATCATGACTGGAAACACGAGGGCGAGGCCTGTCTTTTTCTCTGGAATAGCCCATTCCTATGTTCCATTTATCTTCCATGGCCCATCAATTTCTCCTCTTCTCAAAACAAAATCTTGGTCAGTCTGTCCTGACCCATTCATAGTCTGTTATGAATGTCTAATAAACCTCAGTTTCTTTCTCTTGCTCTCATAAAAAAAAAAAGTCTTCACAAAACTTTGTAGACAGAGCCAGGGAGTGTTTGCCTCGGCCCTCCTCCAAGGGAGAGGAATGGCATTTCTTTCAGAGCTCATGAATACAAAAGCTTGGAGATGCTTTTGAAAAATTATTATTAATCTTCAATGAGCGTTTACAGAGACTTTGGATTTCCATTTATTCATTGTTGCTTTTTTCTCCCTACTCACCCCTCCCCCAATCCACTCTTCCCTTTGAAAAGTAAAAGAAAAATTCTTTCAGTGTTATGCAATCCCTCCCCCCAAGTCTACTCCACTGTGCAGCCTTCGTTCTGGACTCCTGTCATGGTTATAATACCCAATCATGTATCGCTTTTAAACAGTTCTCTCCCTCGGTGTTCAGGTCTGCTGTTCTTACGGTCAGTCGCTATAAGTCACACTTAACTTGATGGCACCTAACAACAACAGGAAGTGCCAGAGAAGGTGGAGGGTCAGCAAAAGAGAGGGAAGCCTTCAGCAAGGTGCACTGACCCAGTGACTATAACACCGGAGTCCAGTATTTCAGGGATGGTGATGGTGGTACAGGATAGAGAAGGGGTCAGATCCGTGTCCACAGAGTTGCTAAGAGTTGTGGTCAGCTTGATGACTCCTAACGACTATAATAGGAAGTATAGGTGTGTGTTTACCTGTGTGTATGTTTGCGTGTGTGTGAGCGATGTATAGGGGTCCAAGCTTACTGCTGCTTCAGGTGGAGGGCGTGTCTCACCTTTGTCGTCAAAGCCCCATGGAAAGGCAGACGGGCTCTCTTCAGGCAAACTGCTGCCTACATCCTCCCTATCTCAAAATGAACCTGAGGAAAGGAAGTGGTAGAAGCATGTTGCAGTCTGTGTAAGAAATAACTTATCAGAGGAGCTCTGGTGGCAAGGAGCTGCAACTACAATCCCAGAGGCAAACGGTTTGAATCCACCAGATGTTCTGCCGGGGAAGGAGGGACAATCTCCTCCTGTACCAGTCAGAACTGATTTGACAGTACACGCACACAAAAATAATAAAAAATTAAAAGAAAAAAAAAAGAAATAACTTATCACAGGGACAAAACCCCCAAATGTCTAATATCTCTGGGACTTTAAAAAAAACACAAACCATCTTTTTCAAATCAGAGAGTCTTGTAGGCCACTGTGTGTAACAGGACAGAAATCGGTGTTCAGCACTCACTGGCTTGTCCTCTACACATTGGTGGCAAACCAGACATAGTGGCGAACGGTCTGGAAACACCTTGAGGAGGGAACAGCTTCGCTCCCCAGCTGGCCACACTGAACTGAGGTGTGGACGTGAACTCCAGCTTGGGTGAGCCTAACTTTTAGGTGATTCTTTCAGAAGAAGAGACTAGAGGGGAGTGTGTTCCATCTGCTCAGTGGGGTCTCTGTTCAGTGTGGTTGAGTCAGCTCCAACTCATAGCAACCCTGTGTGCAAGAGGAAATGCTGCCCCAACCTGCCCCATCCTCACAATTGCTGCTGTGTGAGCTTGAGTGAGATGCTGTCTTCAGTCATCAGAATTTCTCCTTGAAAAGTCTCATCGTTAGTAATAACAATGATTGGAATGCACTTCTAATGCACCAGGTCTAGTCCCAGGACTTTATTATAGTGAATTAATTTCATCTACAGAGCAACCTTGTGAGTGATGTGCTAGTGTTGTTGTTGTTGCTGTTGTGTACTGTCAAGTTGGAACCTACCCATCCCTGATCTTCCAGTGGATTTTCAGAGGTAGTAAATCTCACAGGAGGAGATTGCCCATCCTTCTTCCATGGAGCAGCTGGTGGATTTGAACTACGTGCCTTTGAGATTGCAGCACAGTTTCTTACCACTAGGCCACCAGAGCTCTCTGATGTGCTGCTATCCCTATAAAGACAAAGAAAGCTGTGTGGTTATCCTGAGGTTACTGAACACCTTAGAGATGGTACAACTTAGCAGTTGAGTTCAGGCACCCTGGCTCTTTCTTATACACTGTGCTCCCTACCCCACATTGTTGTTGTTGGGTGCAATCAAGTCAAGTATGAGGCATAGCAACCCTATAAACAACAGATCTGAACCCTGTCCTATCCTGTGCCAACCTCACCATCTCTGATACATTTAAGCCCATTGCTGCAGACACTATATCAATCCACCTGGCTGAGGGTCACCCTCTCTTCTCCTTCACCTTTCCAGGTATGATGCCTCTCTCCATGGAACAGCCTCTCCCAGCTATATGCCCAGAGTATATGAGACAAAGCTTCATCAGCCTTACCTCCAAAAACCACTCAGGCTACACTTTTTCCAAGACATATCTGTTTATTCTTTTGACAGTCCATGAACTCAGCAGTCTTTCCAACACCACAATTCAGAGGCATCAATTCTGTCATCCTTATTTGTTGTCCAACTCCAGTTTGCATAGCAAGTGATTAAAAAGACCATGGCCTGAATCACACCTTAGTCTTCAGACTATTATTGTTGCTCCCCAGTACCTTGAAGTACTCTGTGCTCGGTACTTTGTACTTGCTTCAGCAGCATATAGTAAAATTGGACTGATGCAGAGAACGTTTGCATGGTTCCACAGAGCATTTATTTACTCCACAAATATCTCCTGAGCACTCCTTTGCCCAAGGCACCCAGTGAAGTAGGAAGAGAAGACCTTTACTTGGATCCCACCTCACACAATTAAAACTCACTGTCATCCTGTCACTTCCCTTTAAGACTAAGGAGAACTTCCCCTTGGGTTTTCCAAGACCAAGGCTTTATAGAAATAGACCACCTCATTTTTCTCCATAAGAGCAGCTAGTTGATTTTGAACTGAGGACTTTCCTATTAGCAGCCATAACCACGGTACCACCATTAAAAGGTTTCTCCAAATGTGTTTTAATTAACAGACTTCTGATGGCCGAGTGGTAAGGTCGTGTGCTACCAATCCAAAGGCAGGCAGTTTGAATCTACCAGTCTCTCGTTAATAGAAACATGGGCAGTGTGTCCTCCAGTGCAATTTGCAACCCCTGAAACTCCACTAGAGAGTCAGTTATAACACAGAACAACATTTTTGAGAACGTCATGTGAGCAAAAGATACACATTCTCCAAGATAACCTGTTTTCAGGCGGAATCTTTGAGGACAGAGAAGCCACCGCTGGAGATGAATGGTGCTTCTCCAGACAGGACCGGAGTTTAGTCCTTTGCGGGTGTGCACGGCACATAGTCCTTAATGTGGCTGACTGTTGGGTTTTGTTTTTTTTTTTAATCTTTTCATGCAGGAGTGAATAACAAAAGTGCTGTTAAAATAGCTCATTTATCACATCACTCCTGTTTTCAGCTGCACAGCTGGCACTTAAAAGACCAGGGAACACATTAACCGTTTAATTTTACTTCTCTTTGGTTTGCCAGGAGAGGCGAGCAGAAGCCAATGCCAATGTGGACAGCTCTGTGCCCCCCTCGGTGGCCCAGCTGGCGGGGCGGTTTAGGGAGCAGGCAGCTGCAGCCAAGGAGGTGAGTTCTTGGAGTCCCTGTTCTGGGCAGAGGAGCCCCTCTGGACTGGAGGAAGGGGAAGTCTGGGTCAGGCTCTGAGGAGCAAGGAGCGAGCGGGGAGGAGGAGGCTTGGTAATTGCCAAATTAGGAAGAGAAGCCAGAGAGGGGTCCCTTTGAATGCAAGGAATGTCCCCACTGCCTCTGCCTGGTGCAGAATCTTTCTGCTGAGTGAGATGGGGATGAGAGATGGAGCAAAAACCAAACAGCGCTGCCCCTTGGAAATAGGAACCTGGAATCGGTTTTTTCGTTATTGCTGTTGTAAATTTTTATATACATGTATACCAAATGGCACAAAGTTTGCTAATTCAGATATCATTTGCACTGTGGATTCATTGTAAGACAAATCGGCTTCATTTTCATCTTGAGTGCCCACTGGTAGAGTCTAACATCTCACACAGTTTGTCAGGCCTGCACTGGTTCCGGTGAAGAGGCTGCTCACAAACAGATCCTAAGCTCTTTAAAAGTGCAGCCAGTCTGGACCCACTGAGACTAGAAGACATCCCAAGACTATCACCTGGAGGTATCCTTTATACCTCAAACTAAAACAAGTTCTTGAGGTCACTTCTTATAATAATAGATTATAATGTTGTTGTTGTTGTGTACAATTGAGTTGGACCCAACCAATAGCTGGCCCTCTGGTGGGTTTTCAGAGCCAGTTAATCCCATGGGAGGAGAGGGCCCATCCTACTCTCAAGGAGCAACTGGTGGATTAAAAAAATGCCTTTGGGATTGCAGCGCAGCTTTTTGCCACTAGGCCACCAGATCTCCCAATAGACTATAATAGCTAAATAATGGATTGAATCATAAAATGAAAACGTGTTTATTATAAGTATATGAGTACAACACTCCTTTGAATAATAATCTCAGTGAGACTAACTGGTTAGTAATTACTGTAAAGCAATAGAAGGTCAAGGAGCAGGAACACTAGAAGTATGACAAATGATACAACTGAACAGAATTAATGAGAATACATGCATATTTTTGAAAATAGTAACTGATAAATGACATTAAGCAATTTGTGTAGGAATGGTTAAATGGGAGCCTAATTTTGTTTTATAAAATTTTACTAAACACACAATGAAAACTTTAAAAAAATTAAAAGATCCCCACCTCCACCGCTGCTCCCCCAAGAGTCAGAGCTGGGACAGGTTCTGAGTTGGGAGTTGACAGGAAGACAGGACAGTAAGGGACACAGGATGAGACAGGCGCCAGGTTGGGAAGGAAAGGATTCAGGGACCCACAGAACCACAGAGTCTCAAGAAGTCGTACTGGAGAGGAAAGCACCAAAGGAAAGTGTATCCAAACTGGGAAAGTCTAAGGGTAGGTTTTCCTGAGTCATCCAGTATGGAGAGCTCATTAGAAGGGTACCAGACACCGGAGAAATAATAGCGCTTACTGTGTTCTCAGGGCAAAGGAGGGCACGGTTGGCACCTCTTTGTCAGGTGCTACAATTTATGCTTTTGTTTTCACATCTGCAACACCAGAGCCACAACTTCTATGCATTGTAGGAGTACCAGTCCAAAAGGGCAGAGCAAGTCACTTCCTCAGAAGGCAGACCAAAGTTTTTGCCTGAGAGCAGAAAGTGATGATGTTGTGAAATTTTGTTGCAGGCCATGTAATTTCAAACTGAAATGAACACCCAGTAGAAGAGGGAAAATCAGAATGGATAGGTGGCTAAAGGAACATAATTCATCCAGGCAATGGGCAGACCCAGCGGCATGCCACCCCCTTCTGCCCTTCTTTCTCTTCCAGACTTCCCTAAACACTCCTAAAGCCAATTTCCACTTCCTTCCTCCCCCTCCCTGTGCCTGACTAGCTCTCTCTTTCTCTCTCTGTATGTCTGTCTGTCACCCTCCCTCTAGACACCAGCCAGTAAACCAACAAGAAGGAAACCGCCCTGCTCCCTCCCCCTGTTCCCCCCCAAGGTAGAGCTGGGCCAGAATGGTGAGGTAAGTGCTGCCGCCAGGCTCACAGGCTGTGGGCTTCCTCCCTCCCCCTTTCAGGAGTCACCACATAAGCTGGTAACGCTGAGCAAGGAATTTTTCCATTCCAGGTTCAAAGACTTTCCCAGTTCTCCTCTTCTTATGACTTCCTGAGGGCTTGCCTTTGAAAACTAGACTCTTCCATGCTCTGTCTTACTGAGCCTCCTTTAGGATTGGTCAAAGGTGGAAACTTTTCTGCACAGAGAATGGGCCCTCTGTCATTGACATGATGTCAGATTAAAGACTAAGGTGTGCCCAATCCAAGCCACGATCTTCTCAGTTACTTGCTGAGCATCTGAAAGTTGGACAGTGACTAAGGATGACAGAATTGATGCCTTTGAGTTGTGGTATTGGAGAAGGGTACTGAATAGCCCGTCAACTGCCGAGAAGAAATATATTCTGGACAAAGTATAACCAGGATGGTCTTTGGAGGCAAAGACAGTGAAGCTCTGTCTCATATACTATGGGCATGCTGTTAGAAGGGCCCAGTTCTTGGAAAAGAACATCATATTGGGAAAGGTTGGAGACAGAGAGGAAGACTCTCAATAAGATGGGTTGATACAGTGACTGTAACAATGGGCTCAAGAAGTGTGGTAAGGATGGCATAAGATAGGGCAGAGTTTAGATCCCTTATTCAAAGGGTTGCTATGAGTCATAATTAACTCTACTGCATAAAACCACCACCATTAGCATGCCAAATCCAGGACCCAGCAAATTTGTGTGTTCTTCCCAAGACTGACTTAAACTGCCTCAGAATGGATATCCCCCTTGCCATGTGGAAGATGTACCTGGAACAGGAGAGACACCGTTACAAGGCAAGATGGAAATGGGAGAGAACCCCTTGGTTCTCTGGTGCCCTTGTAAAGGCTGGCTTTTGTTCGGGATCATTGGAAGAAAACCAGACCACACAGGAGGCCTCATTGCCCTCTGATATAAATAGCCATTGCTACCAGCTTAATGAGGGCTCTGGTATCATAGATCATAGCCAGCAATAGACTTTCTCCTGTAGAGTCAACTGCCCTTGTTCAGCTAACTGTGGCTGGAAGAGTGACTTCCCCATTCCCTGGCCCAACAGCACAAGAGCCTCCGCTGTGGTCAGGGGCCCTCCCGGAAAGGACTCTGCATGTTCTTTCATCCAGCCCCAGATAAAGCAATTAAGCGAAAGACAGTGCAGTCCCCAGATTTCATTGCAACCATCTCTTTTAATCAATTCTCTTCCTTTTCGGAGACTAGCATCCAGATAATGTGCTCTGGATTCCTGTGTGTAAACTTAGGCAAGCCCCTGACATCACATCCACTTTAAAATGGGAAGGCTGGAGTTAAGTAAATGGTTCTCAAGTATTTTTTTTGTCAGCCCACAGCTTACAGACAGAAGCTAGTGAAAGAGAACTGATGAACTCAGAGCTGCTCCCAGCTGAGTGAGGTGGGGGATTCTGGAACCCATGTGCCATAAGAATACCCTCCAATCCATGAAACAAGGGCTCTGTTCTGAGACAGAAACCCCAACAGGCAGAAATTTAACACAGCTTGGGGCGGGGAGTGGTTGGAATTGCTCTATGCTCTAACATTGTGACTCTGGTTTCATGGGGTTATCAGCTCCAAAGACTTATCAACAGCTTCTCCTTAGCCCTGGGTCGGTATCTTCATGTAACCTCTGATCTTTGTGTCTCTGCTGCTATGTGGCAAGCTGAGGCCACAGCCTTGACAGAGCCTCATAGGAAGCTGCCTGATGATGACCTTGGCTTGGCCCCAAGTTGCCTCACCAAGCCTGGTCCTTATTTGTAACAAGGGGCAAGAGCACTGAGCAAACAGATTGTGAGGGCTGGACAGGCAAACTTTTCCTTAGAATAAAAGTGGTTGCGTCAAGTTATTGGATAAAACTTTTATATTTTGTCTACTCTGAGAAAAATAAATGTACTGGTTTCATCTCACAGAACCCACTCACTCAATAGTTAAAGGCATATAGTTAGTGTCCAAGGCTGGGTGACGAGGTAGGTGAATTGTGAAGGGTAGTCTCTTATGGAGGGACAAGTTACTTGCATGCAAAGGATGCTGGGATCTCTGATTTCTTGACATGCACGTAGAAATAAAGTTAGTGGCCAGCTCTGCCAGGACAGGCTACTGCTGACACTTCTCCCCCCATGAAGGCAGGGTTCTGGTCAGACCTCTACTTTTTTCCCAAAGCAGAGTGCTGGGAGGGGGCTTCCATGCCTTTTTCATCCCTGCCTCTCTCCCTTTGCCTGCTCAGACCTGAAACCGTGGGGTGACGCCGCCTAAATCACTAGGAAGTTTCAGCCCCCTAAAAGACCCGGAGGATCAATTTCAGAGGTGTGCCTTTAATGAAGCCACAGAGCCTCCCACTAAACATATGGGAAAATGCTGCCACCTGGTGTCCTTCCTGGCAACTGACAGTAGACTGTGATCCCACCCCCACCCCGCCCTCGTTTTTCAATTTAATTCAAATCGCAAGAATGTTCCGGAACTTTAGCTGGGTCCCCTGCCCTGTCCTGGGGTTAAGGACAGGAGTCATTTGGGGAAGAGGAAAGCTTACAGTATTACATAAGAGAGCCTTACCCACAAATTAGTTGCAAGAGTTTCTAAAACTGTATCACAAAAACCAAAACAGCCCATGTAAAATTACTCTGATGTACAGAAATTAAGTATAGCCTAACTTTGTCTTAAACACTTTTTACCCACCATTTACTGTGGGCAGAAGGTTCCCTCAGAGGAGCCTGCTTTTGGCTATGACTGACGAAGGGATGGATGTAGAGCTGGACCGACTCTCACAAATCTTTCACCCCAAATCTCCGAGCGCTTGTGTTGAGAGGCTGTACCCAGGGACATCCAACTGGCTCCTGTCAAAACTAGAATTAGAATGAGGTGTGCAAAGTCCTACAGTGAGAGCATTTTCTCACTCAGGGTGGGGCCTCAAAAGGTCACAAAGAGTTCAATTAAGTCAGTCTCCCCTCCTTCCGGCACTAAAATATTTCCTCATCATACCAAGTTTGATTAATCTTATTCAATAAACAGCTCAGTAGATGTATCATTTATTGACATTTTTAGTATTTAGGGGTGTTGTGGAGATAATTCTTTGTGTCTCTGAACTATCAGAAACTATCTCTGTCTTGGCCGTCATAGATCTTCTTCATCTTCATCATGTTCATCACTGCCATTCTTACATGTGAAACACGACTGGAGCTGTGAGAAGTTTACACTATGCAAGGAGTTAATACTTCTGTTACTGTTATTATGTACCACCAAGTCAGAACCAAGTCATAGCTGACCTTCAAGTGGGTTTTCAGAGGCAGTTAACCGCATGAGAGGAGTGTAAAATCTAAAGACAAGATTTCTGATAAATATTCATCACAAAAATACCTATAACTACTATAATATACACATGGTTTATATGATGATGTGTGGAGCAAGAGAGACATGTATATGTGTATGTATCTGTTTATGCCAGTCACTGATTGCTGTTGTTGTTGTTGTTATGTGCCGTTGAGTCGTTTGCGACTCATAGTGACCCTATGTACAACAGCCCCTGCGTACAACAGCCCTAATTTCTGCCCTGTCCTGTGCCAATCTCACTATCTCTGACACACCTACCCCCAAAGGCAGGGAGTAAAGCACAGCACCTCAGAAGACCCTCAGTCAGTGCCCACTTAGGTAAGATGAATATTTGATATTTTAGAAAATAATTTATAAGCAACGCCTTTGGAGGGGTTTTTCCAAATATTGTTTATTTGATGGAGAATTTCAATAGTACTTCTATCAAGCTTCACTCCTTTTCTGTGATTTCATGTCTTGCTTCTTAAAACAGGCTCTCAACTTATTGTGTCACACAATTGGCAGTCACAAAGTGGAGATCTCTGCTCCCTTCACATGTGGCCTGTTCCCTTCTAAATGCCCATGAAGCCATCTTCCCGGGGTAGAAGTCCACTTCTGTTACAACATCTGTTTTGACTTCTATGACTTGTAGGTTCAAGTGGTCTTGCTAGTGGTAAAATGTGGGTGGGGAAAAGGGGACTATGTGCCCTGCTGAGGTAAGTGGTCTACAGAAACTAAGAGATGGACTGGTGAAATCAGTTACTCCCTTTCTCCTTCCCCCCATGACCTCCAAGCCCCAGCTAGAACCCTTTCACTCTACGCCTCACTCATTTTGTCTCTTCGTTCCACAGAAATCACCACCCAGTGCAAGCCACCCTCCTAAAATCAAGGTGAAGAGCTCACCTCTGATTGAAAAGCTTCAGGTAAGTGCAGGATGTCCATTGTCTGCTTGTAAAAAAAGTGAAGGCAGCATGGAGATGGCCGAATCTGACCTCTGTTAACTTCACAAAAGGAACTGTCCCTGTCAGCAACATCCACAGTATCAAACCAGTTGCATAAGGTTAGACATGGCCTTCACGCTCCCATACCTGCTTCTGCTAACTCCAACCCCATTCAAACTGCTCTACTGCTGGATCTGGGGTCCATGGCAATGGCCACCCAGATATCACAGACCTATACTTACATGGTTACAGGGTCTACTAGCAAAGTTAATGGGTTACAATTTAGTTTGGTAGCAGGATATAATTCCTCAGTCAGGACATCTTAAGCACACTTGCAGGCCCTTTGACCTTCAGCTTCACAGTTCAGGTCAGTGTGAAAATGTTCCCTTGTTGTTGTTGTTATGTGCTTTTGAGTCCTTACAACTCATAGTAACATTATGTACAACAGCTATGAAGTCTGTTCTATCCTGAGACCTCATTGACACACCTACTCTCATGACCCCAGTCACTGAGTCAGTCCATCTCATCCATGGTCTTCCTCTCCTGCGCTGTCCCTCCACCCTTCCAAGCATGACGTCCCTCTCCAAGGACTGGTCCCTCCTTGCAACACACCCGAAGCATTTCAGATGAAGCTTCAAAATCCTTGCCTCTGAGGAGAAGCCTGGTTTCATCCTCTCCAGGACCAACCTGTGTGTGCTCCTAGGCATACATGGGATATTCAATACTCTTTTCCAGCACCACAGCTCAAAGGCATCAATTGTCCTCTCATCCCTAGTCATTTATCCAGCTCTTATGTTCCCGTAAGTACTGCCACTTACAATACTTTCCCTCAGTCCTCTAGCAAGCTCAAGTGAGGATCCCTGGCTCTGGCTCCAGGGGTATCAGTCCCAAGTCAGCTCTGTTTCAAGTCAGTCTCTGGTTCCCACTAAGGCAGCTGCTGCTCCCCAACAGGTCCTGGTGTGACTGGTGCAAGAACTTCTGACCCTGAGCTCTCTGCTGGTTCCTTTCTGCTGGTAGTGACAGTCCCCTCTTCTGCTGCTAAACCTGCTCAAGTTCAAACTTTAGGATGGGGAAAGGTGACCAATCCCATAATAATTAGTTTATAGACACCCTATTTCAGAATCCCACCCAGTTAAGTGGTTAAAGTCAAAGCTGATGAATAAGAAACGTCTTTTTTATTATTATTATTAATTTTAATGAACATTTACAGAGACTTAGGGTTTCTTTCCAGTCATTCATTGTTGCACTTTTCTCCCTGCCCACCCCTTCCCCCCTCAATTCACTCTTCTCCTTGAAAAGTAAAATAAAAACTCTTTCATTGTTATGCAATCTCTCCCCCCAAGTCCACTCCATCATGTAGCCTTCATTCTGGACTCCTGTCATGACAATAATACCCGGTCATATATCCCTTTTAAACAGTTCTCTCCCTCATCTGTTTCAGTGCATCAGTACATCAGTACATCATTCCTCCCTCCTTCTCTGTCTTCCCTTAGCCCTGATGTTAAGTCCCGTTTTACAACAGTGGCCCTATGCAATATTTGTCCTTTTGTGACTGAGATATTTCACTCAGTATAATATCCTTCAGGGTCATCCATTTTGCATAATATTTCATGAGTTCCTTGTTTTTCAATGCAGCATAGTATTCCATTGTGTGACTATTCCAGAGTTTCTCTATCCATTCATTTGTTGATGGGCACTTGGGTTATTTCCAGCTCTTTGCTATTGCTAACAAAGCCGCAATAAACATGTATGTACAGAGACTGCTTTTTCAGAAGCAGATCACTAGACATTCCTTCCAGGGCACCTGGGCTCAAACCACCAGCATTTAGGTTAGTAGCCAAACACATTAATCCTTTGCACCACCCACTGTCTCCTCAAGCTGTACTCAAACAACTCATTGCATCAAGTCTGAACTGATTATTGCTTCCCCAGCAATGGGTTTTTAGAGGCTGTAAATCTCATAGGGTCGGGGTGGAGGGATATTGCCCATCTTTCTCCTGCAGAGGTCCTGGTAGACTTGGACCTTCTGCCTTTGGGTTGGCAGAGCAACTCTTTACTCCGTCCATAGGCTACCAGAACTTGAAAATGCAGAGGGACAGGAAAGAGCATTACCCCTCTGTGGTGCTACAGAGGTTCCAGAATGCCTGTTTAATTCCCTCAATTACCTTCCTGCACCAACACTCTCTCCATAGGACCATCTGTCTCTTCCCTCAACAAATTCATAACCTCCTTTGATTTGGATTACCTCTGGGTAAACTATCCTCTTTGGTTGCCCTTATGGTTTATTTTAACTGCTTTACCATTCTGTGATACCCCAAGTGTGATTTGTTCAGGTGCCTCTCTCTTGGTATAGCTCAACCATCTATGTATCACCACTATTATTACATTTACAAGAGAGAACCTGGCATCTTAAGGCTTGAGGAACAAGAGCTCTGGCTTGTTCTCAGGGCAGATCCAGCAGCCACATTCCTAATTTATTCACTGAGAACAATATTGAACAGTTAGGTCTGTTGTTGAGGAAAAATTGCATGTCTGGCAAACAGTGGGCATCCAGTAACTAGCAACTATGATTGACTCTGAGGAAGAGGGCATACTATGAGAGCCTGGAGCCTGCAGGTACCTGCTAGTTACTGTTTTGATTACTTCATCCATAACTTGTGGCTCTTGACAGTACATTTTTGGTGGATCCACTTTGGTGGTGTCCATGGATTCTGGAATGCAGCTTGTTACAAACCGGGTAGCAGATGGCTTGAGTAGGCAATGTTTCAGGAGGAAGATGTGGGGAGACAATGAATTAACTGGTTGGGAAATAGAAGAAAAGTCTCATGTTGCCTGGGAACTGTGGTAACCTAGCAGTAGAAACTGTGCTGCAATCCCAAAGACACGTGGTTCAAATCCACCAACTTCCTAGTTTAAAGAAGGATTGGAAATCTCCTCCCATGCCATTTACTGCCTCTGAAACGCTGTTGGAGCATCAGCTAGGGGTCGGTTCTGACCCAGTGGCACACAGCAACACCACCACGTTACCTAGTCTCAATAAGCTCCGAAGACAGGTAACCAACAAGCTAAAGTAGAGGGTCTCCTCTCCTGTCCAGCCCTATCTGAAACTCCCAATCTTTTCTCCACAGGCCAATTTAGCCTTTGATCCAGCAGCCCTGCTGCCTGGAGCCTCACCCAAGAGCCCTGGACTTAAGGCGGCGGTGTCACCGATTAACAGCCCACCTTCTACTCCTAGTAGCCCAGGCGTGCGATCTCGGTCCAGCGAGCCCGAAGAGGTGCCTGTGAGCTTCGACCAGCCCCCTGAAGGCAGCCATCTGCCCTGTTACAATAAGGTAAATCCTAGATCAGAAGTATTGTGCTGTATGGTAATGTAGGGACTAGACAATCCCGTTTTCCCTACCCTCTTGCTGTGCTGGAGAAAGAGGGAATCATTTGGAGTCCTATTTGGAGTTGGATTTTAGCAGAAATGAAATGTGTCTACTCCTTTGCAAGATTTCCCTGTACTAAAATCACCACACTGCCTAGCCTATCTCTTTTCATTTCTCTCCCTGTAACTTGCCATCCACCCAAAAAGTAGGGTTAAGGAATGGAGTACTCTGTCTTCTGTGGAAAGTAGGATGAAGACTCAGGATGATACCAACTGGATAGAATTATGTCAAAAACTGAAGGCAAACAGCCATTCAAAATAATTAGATTAATTCTTTTAATTGCATTACAACAATCTGGAACAAGGGGTGCAATGAAGGGAAGGTTGTGGGTGAGGGAAGGGGGAAGAAAATGTGCAACAATAAAAAAAATTAAAACTTTTTTTTCTATTAAGAAAAAAGAATTGAGGGAGCTCTGGTAGCCTGGTAGCAAGAAGCTATGCTGCAATCCCAAAGGTGTGCAGTTCGAGTCCAGCAGATGCTTCGCTGGAGAAAGAGGGGCAGTCTCCTCCTATGCCAGTCGGATCCAATTCGACGGTACATGACAACAACAACAACAAAAACCCACAAAAAAACATTAAAAAAGAAAAATCGAATTGGTCTTTATCCACAACAGAAGGAGAAGGAGAATCAGGAACAGGAGAAGGAAATAGAACTTGTGGCTAATTGCTTCCATGAATGACTACCTCCCTTTCCATGAGAGCAGAAGAGCTGTTTTGTGCTCAACTATCAAGGTTGGACATTTTCATCAGATTCTGTAGGAGAATCCTGATGAAAAGGGAGCTAATGCTGAACAGAATTTCAAATGCGTATGAAATCCAGACTTCCTAGAACTATTGATGCTGGATGAATCCCCACAACTGTTGCCCTGAAATAATCTTTAAACTCTAACCCCTAAACATCCCTTGAATTCTTCTTAAAAATCAAACAATAATTTATCTTAACTAGTAAAGAAGATCTTCCTTGAACATCACACACTTTTAGAACCATCTTTATGAAATCAAACTAACAACAGAAACTTTCAAGACTAGGTGGAAACCTTTGGGGCAGTGAGTTTTTATTAATGAGAAAGGAACAGCTCAGAAAAGGAGAGTTAAAATGGTTATATAGTTCCAAGGATGTAATCAGTGTGACTGAATTTTATATATGTATAGTGTGTGTTTTGCTATATATAGTCTCGGTAATAACAATAATAACTAAATCGTTTAAAAAAATATATATGTAAATATAACTGCCCCGTAGCATTTCCAAGATTTCAGTCTTACAGAGTCAGGCATAGCTTTCTCACATTGCAGCTGGTGGGTTCAAACCACTAACTTTGCAATTAGCATCCAAGCACTTTAACCACTGCACCACCAGTGCTCCCAACAAGCATCACTAGGACTCTCGAGCATCCTGTCTGGCCTGATATGAAGGATCCTAAATGTCCTGTTCTGGCCCAAAGTATTCTTACTGTGGTGGTGGTGTGTGTACTATAGAGTCGGAACTGACCCAGAGCTGACCCTCCAGGGGGTTTTCAGAGGCAGTTAATCTCACAGGAGGAGACTGCCCATCCTTCTTCCATGAAGCAGCTGGTATACTCAAGCCTCATGCCTTCCGAATGCAGTGCAGCTTCTTGTCACTAGGCCACTAGAGTTGCCTAGTTTAAGAACATCCAAATTGAAGAACTGTTCCCTTTGTAGATGATAGATCTCGGTTCAGTCAATGGTACACCAATGCTTAGCCTGTGTGTTCATCAGACCCTGGACCCTACTATCAGAAAAGGAGGTACAGATCAGAGATACAAATCAGAGATGCAATACAGTTCAAGTTGGAGCCCAGAAAACCTCATCCAGAGCCATACAAGGCGCCAGGGTTCCAGGGGATCTGATTGCTGGGAATGGTTAATGGGTGTGGCTTCAGAGTTGACAATGAAGAGAAAGGGATCCTAGTTCATTCAAGGAAATCTACCTAGAAAAAAAGGTGAAGTGAATAGAGACAAAGTTGGTGGGGAGGGCTTAGTCCTGCTGCGTGGGGACAAGGCGCAGATCCCTCATACAGAGTGTTGGAGAGATTCCTGAAGGCAGACAAAACCAAAGGGACAGCCTGTCTTCAGGATAGGAAGGCAGAGGTGCTGTTATCTGGTCCCAGTATTGTAGAACATCAGTCTTCTGACAGATAGCTTGGGAGCAAGCAGGATTATTTCTAAATCCACTGGTTCTGAGGGCCCAGCCCCACTGCAGAGCTGGCCTGAGGAAGCTTCATAAACCAATAATTCTGTCCAGACGTCTGAGATGGAGCTCTTATTATTATTGTTGTTGTTAAGGATAATCAAGTCTGCTACAACTTGTAGCAACTCTGTGAACGACAGATCAAAACCTGTTAATCTGTGCCAGCCATTTTGTCAGGCACTGTGAGATGGAACTAGGACTGACGAACACCAGAATGTACAGCAATGAGAAAATATTTACAAAGTGTAATTTACATGAAAATGTGAAAGGCGAGTCATCAGAGTTAAACCGAGCAGCTGCCTGAACATTTCCATTGGCCCCCTGACACTCTGGTGGCCAGAGATGAGGCTGTACTCTGAGATGGACACGTTTCCCACAGGGAAGAATATTTCAGGCAGCTCTGCTGGGTGTTTCCTTAGATAAACTTTCTGGCAATGGTGGGTCTGCCACCAGCAAAGCAAAGGCCACTGGTTGCCTGACCCTCCCAGTGTGTCAGCCAGCTTCAGGGGGGCTTGCAGGGTAAAGTCAGAGAAAGGGAAGAAGCAGGCCACAGGCTGGCCCCCAGCTGTCCAGCTCGGCATCCAGAGGTCCCTCTCCCACTAGTTGGCCTACCACTAGCAGGACTCGAACCTTCTTCTCTGTCAGGACTCCAACCTTCTTCTCTGCTGGGTTCACTTTTGTCAAACTGAAATTGTCAAAAAGCTAAAATCCATGACTCAGAGAAATGATAAAAAGTTTTTATTTCATGTTTATGAGGAAATATGCAAGTTGCTTAAAAATGGGATTTTGGAGTCATTTAACAGACTGAATGTTAGAATAAAGTGGCTACTTAGATGCAAAACTTAAGTGTTCCAGGATAATAAAACCATAGTTATATCTTTTTCTTTAATTTTTTTTTTTTTACTGAATTGAAAGCATTTACATCTGCAAGAGACAAAAGTTTGCAAGTTGACTTAAAATTTCACAGAGTTCTCGCCTATAACAAATGGTAAAGGACAGCACATTTGCCCAGAAAATTAACTAAAGCTTGAGTGGGACTCACTAAACAATGCTTTAGAGCAGCGTTGGGCGTGCAGGCTCTGGGTAATTTTTCCATACGTTTTCTTCCAGGTGAGGACTCGGGGCTCAATAAAAAGGCGCCCTCCGTCCAGGCGGTTCCGAAGGTCTCAGTCCGACTGTGGGGACCTTGGAGACTTCCGAGCCCCAGAATCAGCTCAGGAGAATGGAGCCAAAGAAGAGAATGGAGACGAGGTGTTCACATCCAAGAGCAAGACCCCAGAAACCCCTCCATCCAGCGAGGGTGTGGTGGGAAAGGAAGTGAGGAGAAGCCTGGGGTCAGATGAAAAGGGTCTCCTGAGGAGGACATCCAGCCGGACAGAGAAGCCTGAGGAGACAGGCAAGGCCACAGAGGAAGCCAAGCCAGGGGAGAAGGCTGAGGAGCACCCGAGCCCAGCCCAAGGGGAGGTCATGGAACCCCTCCAGTCCTCTAGCCCAAAGGCAGAGAATGGATGTGGGAGCCCCATGGAGGAAACCACTGCTGGAGAGGATGCAGCAGCAGAAAAGTCTGCAGAGGTGAAGGAGGAGAGGGCACGAAATGAAAAGGATACACCTGCACAAAAGAGCCAAGACACAAAGAAGCTGGAGGAGAGAGCTGGGGGACAGGAGGCCCCTCCAAATCCTACTGGAGAAGAGGAGGAGGGCAACCCCTCAGAGAAGCAGAAAAACAAGGAAAAGCAAGAGAAAAGGGGCGGAGTTCTCCAGACAGGAGGCCCCCCTGGGACTGAGCCAGGCCCACCTGAGACCAGCGGCGAGGCCCTGAGTGGAGAAGCCGTGCCCGAGGCCGAGGTGAGCAGACAGCTCGTCCACACTGGGGGCAGTGCCGGTGTCCAGCCGCAAGCGGGCCTGCTCTGCCTTCATCCCATGCCCTGCTCCTCGCATCCCATCCTAAGAGGGTTGTTTTGGGGTTTTGTGTTTGTGCTAAAAAAATTGCTCACCTCCTGTCTTCATTTCCAAGCCCCACCATTATCACAAACTTAGCATCTTAAAAACAACTGACACTTTTCCTCTTTCAGTACTGGATATCAAAAGTCCAAAATAAGAATGCCAGCATGGGGGTTGCTTCTGGGGACTCTGAGGAAGAATCCACCCCAGGCCCTCCTGCACTCAGGCCTCACATTGCACTCAGAATAAAATCCCCCTGCTGGATGGGCTTTTTGCTGCCTCTCCTTGACTTTCCCCCTGGTGGGCTCCACCTACATAGACACATTTTTCTGTTCTTCATATTCACCAAACTCATTCCTACCCTCAGGAAGGGTGTTGTCCCTTCTGCTTGACACAATCTTCCTTCTGATCCTCTAGTACCACTTCTTATCCATGGTTCAGATCTCAGCTCAATTTCTGCCTCACTTCGGCCTGTCATGGGCCCTGTAGCCAAGGGAACCTACCCACCTCCATGACTCCCTCTCATTCTTCTGTTTTGCTTTCATGGCACTTAGTACTGTTTGAAAAGTTCTTGATTCCCCTCCCCCTTATTTTCTCTCTATATAATCTTTTTTCATCCTAGTGTTTACTATAATACCTTGCACTAGACTATCCTCAATAAAGGAAATTTATTAAGTGAATAAATGCATTTATAGAGACAGCATCATGTGACCAAAAGAAATCATCTCTAATGGTGCAGCTACACGTGTGTAAGTGGGTTGGTATGCTTGTAGGGAGCTGTTCAGGGACCCTCAAATTATTCTCATTCAGACTGAATTGGAGAGAAGAAAGTGTGAGTCGACAAAGATGCTTTAGATCTCATTAACATCAGCTGTTCTAAATGAGTAATCAGGTCCTTTTAGCCCAGAGATGTCCACAGACTTTCCAAAACCAAATATGTGCCACACATCCTTCTTCCACTAGAAAAAACAAAGCAACTGAGTTCCAGCATTCACCTGTCAGTGGTTCTGACATCTTCTGTTCAAGCCAGGAGGCATCTGCCTTGCTTGAAAGCCTTCTCATCTGCCGGGCCTCACCTTTCATTCCTGAAGGGCTAAGAAATCACTTTGGTTGAGAAGCTAGCAAGAAACAAAGTTGGTTTAGGGAGGTCTTAGGTGGAGGAGGGCTGCCTACAGAAATACCAGGAGCTTTTGGACAGCTCACTGGTAATCTCCCCAAACCTCACCATATCTGCATAGTCGGACCCTGACAGTCTCAGGTTCACTCTGCCCCCTGTTCCAAAACAAACTGACAAAGATATTGAAATTCCATTTACTACACCTTCAATTTTTTTTTTTACTCTCTGAGATATAAAACTTTGATGCCATTTAGCCCAATTGCCTGGTTTTAGAGAAGAAATTGAAGTACCAAGAAAGGACAGGAGAGCTCAATCCATGTCGTTATGTTGGGTATTGGCTGTAGTCATGATAGAAACCTGCTCACAGAACACATCTATAACATTTCTTTAATCTGAAAGGAATTCACCTTCTTATTCTTCCTTATCTTTCTTATGAATGTCCGACAAAGTTAGAACCATTTCTATTGGGCCCAAAATGTCTGAGGTACTTAATGCAAAAGGATTCACCAGTGAGAAAATGTGTGAAGCCAGCCCTTTTGATCCTGGTGTCCCCAGGAGCCCCCATGTCTATCCCAGATCTTTCTTTGCATCTCGCAGAGGTGTCCAACTGCTCTCTAAAATCAGCCTTCTTTCTATTCCTAGTTAATCTCGATTTATTTCTTGATAAGGATGCTCTGCTGGCCTAGTGTAGGGAGTTGTCCTGCTGACCCGAAGTCCACCCCTCTCCCGTGGTTTTAATCCACAAGAGCCTCCGGAGGAAAGATGGGCAATCTCCTATGGAATTTACTGGAGGTTCAAAGAGTGGAAAGACAAGTATAAACAAATATAAAAGAGTAGGAAAAAAATGTAATGGCTTGGGGACCATCAAACCATGTGAAGCCCAAAGGGAGGAAAAATCTGTTTTCAAGAGAAAGCAGGAGCAGATTTCATGAATAGACCAAAGACTCAGATTATTTAAGTACTATAAGTGGTTGACTGCATATCGTATTGCCCATCACAAGTATTTTAACATTTCGTGTTTAGAGGATGAGCCATCTTGGAAATTTCCAACATGAGATAGGCTGAGCCTATCACATCACAACACTTCAGGGGTATTTTAAAGCCAAAGTAGCCCTGGGAAAGAGGGCATTGAATGAGATCCAACTTTGATACTTTGCTTAAATTTAACAAGTGTTTCTAACATTGATTATGTGCCCAGGATTTGTGTTGGGCACTCAGGTATGTCAGGGATAAACTTATCCAATCAAACACTTCGAGATATTTTGACATCATATCCAAGAGTTTGCTGCACTTACAGGAAGTGCAGACTTCCTGATTGCCCAATTCAACTGCTTTCCAAGTCATTCCCCCTGACTTCTCCACATTTGATTTTTTTCTTTTTGTTGTTTTGGTGTTGGTTTTTTTTAAAAAATTTATTATTAATTTCAGTGAAAATGTACAGAGACTTTGGGTTTCCATTCATTCATTGTTGCACTTTTCTCCCCTCCCAACTCTCCCCCCAGTACACTACCCTCTTGGAAAAGTAAAAGAAAAATTCTTTCATTGTTTTACAAACCCTCCCCCAGGTCCATTCCACTATGCAGCCTTTGCTCTGGACTCCTTTCATGACAAAAATACCTAATCACATATCCCTTTTAAGCAGTTTTCTCCCTCATCTGTTTCAATGCAGTATACATTATTTATCCCATCTTTCTCAGTCTCCTCCCAACCCCGAGGTCAGTCCTGTTTTACAACAGTGGCACCATGCAGTGTTTGTCCTTTTGTTACTGAGACATTTTACTCAGCATAATGTCCACCAGGGTCACCCATTTTGAATAATATTGCATGAGTTCCTTGTTTTTTAATGCAGCATAGTATTCCATTGTGTGAATATACCACAGCTTCTCTATCCATTCGTTTGTTGATGGGCACTTAGGTTGTTTGCAACTCCTTGCTACTGTGAACAAAGCCGCGATAAACATGGGTGTGCATCCACATTTGATTTTGATTCATTTCTCCCTCAGCTGTGATGACGCAGCCCCCTCTGGACATTCCTCGTTGCCTCTTTAACTATCTGAGTATTTCCTCCTTCCTTCCTTCGCTCTCTGGGTTAACTAGAGACACACAGTTTTTGGTGCTTGAACTTCCTCAATTCTCTTGGGACCACACTCCCTCCATTCCCACCTCAGCTCCTCCCTTAGCCTTAGTGCTTGTCAGTCACTGTACCATCTGTGTCTCTGCCCCACCCAGACCCTCATCCAAGGCCAGCCGTTTAAGTACTGTCTTTCTGCTCTTAATCTCCCACTTGATTCTCACTGGCTTTCTTCATCATAATCCTTAAAGGAAATTACTCATTACTCTGCCCCTACTGTCTTTGGCTGGTGGAACTCGGTAGAACCAAGCTGCAGGATCTGTATAAGCTATTACCAGTGCAACAAGGCTGTTACCCAGAAATCCTCTCACTGCATCTCTGGTAGTCTTCAGTTTTGAATCCCCAGTCTTACCTCGTCCTTTGAAAATGGCTTCATCTTTTCCTTGACTCAGTCCCCTTCTTCCTGATAAGATAACCTCTGTTGTCTACCCTACTTTATCTTCCATTCCTACTGACATTTTCTGAAAAATTTTATAGTATATTTGTAGGGATGATGGTGTGCATTTTAAATAAGGGGTTAGCTCAGAGATTCTCATTCTTTTATTCTAATTCTAGCTCCTCTTTGCTTTATGCCTGTCTGCTTCATTCATATCCTACTCACCCCTGTTAGCTACGTAGCCTAAGGGAAGTTGTTTATATATCTGGGCCTTATTTATCAGCTATAAAATGTTGTTGTTGTATACCTTAACCAGCCCATAGCTGCCCCTCCAGTCAGATTTCAGGGGCAGTTAATCACAGGAGAGGAGATTGCCCATCATTCTCCTGTAGAGCAGCTGGTGGATTCGAACCACGTGCTTTGAGGATTGCAGCAGAACTTCTTACCACTAGGCCACCTGAGCTCCCTCACCTATAAAATAGGATTTGTAAAAGCTATTGAATGTTGTTGTTGTGTACCATCGAGTCTGAACCAATCCATAGCTGACCTTCCGGTGGGTTTTCAGAGCCACTTAATCCCATGGGAGGAGACTGCCCATCTTTCTCTGGAGCAACTGATGGATTTGAACTGCCTGCCTTCGGGGCAGTGCGCCCTTGCTAGTGAATAGATATGTATATTGTTATCACCATAACTTTTATTGTGCAACACTGAGTTGAGTCCATTCCAACTCACAGTGGCCTGTATGAAAGGTTAGAACTGTCCCAGAGGGTTTCCTGGGCTATAATCTTAGGGAGTCAGATCACCTGATGTGTTTCTCCTCAGAGATGCAGGATGAGTTCCAACTACCAGTTGGCAGCTGAGGCGTTAACCACTGCAGCACCTGGACTCCTTGCCGTAATCACTACTATTACCATTGCCTGATCCAGCAGCCCTAAGCACCTATTCCAAGGGTCAGAGTATTCCCCATCTCTGATTCACTCTTTCCTCCTCTGTCCACAGGATGACACCCTTGTCCAGGACACTAAGATGTGAAGAGGGGCTGATTGTGCCCTCATGATGAAGCCGCTGGAGACATCTCTTTGGAAGTAACAGTGACAGCAGTAGCATGAGCAAATGACGCCCTCAAAGAAGCAGGCTGCTGAGGGTTCAGGGTCTCCTGCAGACAGACACAGGGTGCTTTGTTCCCCCGCCTCTGAATGGTCCCTCTCAGATGAAGATCCATTCGGAGTGCAGCAGACTATTTATACGCTTGAGTTTGGGTCAGCATGTCATGTGATGGACTTGGTTTAAAACAAAAGAACTTATTTAAAATAATTTACTATGATGACAACTCCCCAGGGACACTGGTCCTCCCCCTGGAGCCCCAGACACTCTCTGCACCCACTTCTCCATACAGCTGACCTCTGAACTCTACTTGGACTTAGCTTATCAGATTCGGCTTGTGAAATCATCGCCTTTTTGTAACTAACAGTTCTGGAATTCTTAAGATTCTCAAATTGGAAGTGAAAACAAATTTCTGGGTGACCAGAAACAAAAGAAAATAGTAGTGCTAAAAACTACCAATCCTTCTAAATTGCTGAAGGCCTCATTGTATTCAGACTCAAAATACAGCCTAACAGTGTTGTTGACATTCGAACTGGCCAATCAATTTTTAAAACATTGGGCTAGAAGTGTTTATTACTGAAACATTAAAAACTGTATGTGTCTATTCCAGCAACAGGGTAGTTAAAACTGTTTTCCACCAATAAAAATGACCATCTCAGCTCACCCCTTCTACCACCTTGAATAGTTTGTGGAGAAACTATCATGGAGAGACAGATGTTAAGAGGTCCTTCTGAGTTTTCACCACCTTTACACATCCAAAACCTGGGGCTGTTGAGTTGGCTTTATCGCTTAGAGACACTGCCTGGAGTTTCTGAGGCTGTAATTCTTTATGAGAGGAGACTGCTCATCCTTCTTCCAAGGTGCAGCTGTTCGATTCAAACTGCTCACCTTTCAGTCAGCAGATTGATACACCACACTCTATGCTGCCAGGGATCCCTCCCTGAAAGCACAACAGTGAACAATACCTGCCCACTGACTGGTCTCTAATTGAGGGTAAACTATCTTCTTCCAGAAGGGTACCCTTCGAGCATGGATTAGCTATTTCCTGACGAAGCTTTGAGCACAGGGGTGTGCAAACTGCTTAACAACAAGCATCCTTCCTAGTATCCCAGGGAAACACTTCTTGTTTCCTAAGCCCAGGGTCTTCTCAGCTCAAGGAGGAGAGAGTTGATGTCTTCAGCCTGTGCTCATGGGAAAAGTCTTTAAGATACTGTTTGAAGAGTCAAAGAGGTTTTGTAAGGAACAGTGGGTTTCACTTCCTATTCCTTGAATTAAGTCTTTTCCCCTTTTCAAGCAATCCTTCTAAAAGATGCTAATCTAAATCAGTGTTTGCTCATTAGGGTTGGTCCTCACTCTAATTTGAGTATTTCTGTATGTCTATCTGCTAGTTGAGCAGTCTCCTAGATGAAAAGACCCTCACCAACAGTACCTCACTATTCTTATCCAATTTACCTTTTTCTGCTAATTCCAGGTTAGTATTAATATTGGGGATATATATTTTTCAAAACTATTTTTAAATATAGCACATTTTTTAAGATTTGTTACCAATGGAAAAGGATACTGTCATAACTATAATAAGCATTGGTTCTTAGCAGAATTTGAGAGAAATGTGTGTGTGTTATTTTGTGGTTTATATCTAATCTGTCAGTAACTATATATGCTGTTGTTATGTGCCTTTGAGTCAACTATGACTTACAGTGACTTTGAATAATAGATGAAAACCTTGCCTGACCCGATGCCATCCTCTCACCCTTTGCCATGCTCATTCCTGTAATACATGGGATTATTTATATATGTCTTTGGATTGTTCATACCCTCACACACGTGTATTCACACACGTACCCAGGCAAGAGTTGTGTGGCTATTCACATGGCTGTGAGTGTGTGTGATGAAAAGGGGTGATCTTCAGTTCTCTCTTACTTGAAGAAAGGATGAAATGGAAAGGTATAGACATGAAAATAAACCTATCTTATGGAGGATTTCTACATGGTGACTGGTGCTCTGGGTGGCACATAAGGTTAAGTGCTCAACTACTAACCAAAAGGTTGGCAGTTCTAACCTCGTAGATGCACTTTGGAAAAAAATGTCTGACGGTCGGCTTCTAATGGTTCGCAGCCTTGAAAACCCTATGGGTAGAGTCTGCTCTGCAGCGCACAGGGCTGCCATGGATCAGAATCAACTCAGTGGCAGTTGGTTTGTTCTTTAATGTTTTGTTTTGGTCTTTGGTTTTCAAGAAATCTCTTAGTAGCCAATGAAAAGGAACAATAAAAATATACTAAGAACGTAGTCCTGAAGGAGCATGCTTCATAGTGTCAAAATACCTTCTTATTCCTCTAATTTTATGTGAGCCCCATAATATTATTTATATTGTTGGGGGGAAAGATAGAAGTCGCATTTTGTTTTATGTGCCATCGAGCCAGAACCAACCCATGGCTGACCCTCCAGCATATTTTCAGAGGCTGTAAACCACACAGGAGTTTACCTGTCTTTCTCCCATGAAGACTCTGGTGGATTTAAACCACATGCCTTTGGGTTGACGGTGTAACTCCTTACCATTAGGTCACCAGGGCTCCCTAGAGGTCCTCCACACGGGAGTTAATTAATGATGGGAGCTCTTGGCAGAAAGGTCATAAAGTACAAGGACTGCTCCCTGATGATGCTGCAGCCAGGTTGCCACAGCTGAAGCAGCTAGAATGAAGCATGAATGGCATCTGCAAGATTGATGCCTGACGTTTCAAGATTTGGGATTAAAGAAATCACGTAGAATCTTAAAGCTTAAACACTTAAACACATTGCCATCTCACCTGACCCTCCCATGGCTTTTTTTCAATTGGGTAGGAGGAGATTGCCCATCTTTCTCCTAGGGTCTGAGGCATATTCTGAGAGTCACAATATTTGGGTTAGCAGTCCAGCTCCTTACGGACCATACCATCAAAGCTCAGTACTATCTTCTTGTTGTGGTTGTTGGGTGCCATGGCTCAGGGACTCTGTGGACAGCAGACCTGAGTCCTTTCCTATCCTGAGCCACCTTCATGTGTCTCTGCTATAGTTGGACTCATTGCTCCAGTCACTGTGTCAATCCATCTCATTGATGGTCTTTCTCTTTTCTGTTGACCCTCCACCTTTCCAAGCATGATATCCTTCTCCAAGGACTGGCCTCATCCGACCACATGCCTAAATTATGTGAGACAGGGTTTTAGCATCCTTCCCTCTGAAGAGCACCTTAGCAACACCTTTTCCAAGACATACGTTTGTTTGTTTGGCAGACCACAGCATATTCATCACTGTTCTCCAACACCAAAACTCAAAGTCATTGATTGTTCTGCTGTCATCTTTCATCAATATCCAGCTTTCTGATGCATAGAAAGCAACTGAAAGGACTATAGCTTGGATCAGGTGCACCTTAGTCCTCAAATTGACATCACTGCCCCTTGGTACCACGAAGAGGTCCCTGACAGCTATGCTACATGATGTTTTATTTCCTGACTGCTGTTGCAAAGGGTATAGATTGTAGATCCTAGCAAGACAAAATAGTTAACCTCTCTATCAGGATGTTGCCTATTGGCCCAGTGGTGAGGACTTTTGTTCTCTTAATGTTGACATGTAATTCATATTGAAGGCTGTACTCTTTGATCTTCTGCAAAAAGTTTCTCAGGTCCTCCTCTCTTTCAACAGGTGATGTTGTGTCCTCTGCATACCGCAACAACAGCAAGAGTAGTGTCTTAGGTAGCCCCAAATCATTACCAGGAAAGGAAGACCCTTATACTTTAAGACTGATTCTGCACAGCTACAAAGCTAAACAGAGAAGTCACATCATCCCTTCGCTATGTTTATAGTCAGCTTGGATTTGAAACATTTTTCTTAGCAGCCCTATGAACAGTCAACCTGAACCCTGCCCTTTCTTGTGCCATCCCCAAACACAAACATTCAAGCCCATGTCAGCCTATTTCTCTGGGGGTCTTCCTTTCTTTCTCTGGCCCTTTATCTTTTTTTAAAAATTGTGTTATTTTTACGTGTACCGTCAAATCAGATCTGACTGGTACAGGAGGAGATTGCTCCCTCCTTCTCGAGCAGAGCATCTGGTGGATTTGAACCACTCACCTCTGGGATTGCAGTGCAGCATCTTGCCACTAGGCCACCAGAGCTCCCTGCCCTTTATCTTTCTAAACATGATGTCCCTTTCCAGTGAATAGCATCATCTAGCTACCTGTCCGAATTATGAAAGATGAAGCTTCGCCATCTTTGCCTAATGGGAACAAAATCTGCATCCTTTGAAAGGAAAGATCAATATTGTAAAAGGGAGCTGGGAAGCTGTTTCAGCAGCATATGAACTTAGGTCCCAGGTGACCAGCTGTGTTGCTGTCCTCTTTGAGTCACCTTGAACAAAGCGCAGTTTGCCATGCCAATATTGACCAATTTTGTTTAGTAAATATATGTCAAATATAAGAATGAAATAATGAATCATCTTCATTTGACTATATGTTTGATTACACACTCACAGGTGTATGAAAGTTTTATACAACTGAATAAATGAGGCTGCTCCGTTCCCGATAACCAGAGACCCAACACAAACCACTCAATGTGAAAAAAGACCTCTCCTCCCTCTCCTCTCTCCCTCCCCTTTCTATCCTCTCTCTCCTCCTCCTCCCTCCCTCTCTCTTTCTCACCCTCCATTCTCTCCTCTCTCCTCCCTCTTCTATCTCCCTCTCCTTTCTCTCCTCTCTCCACTCTTTCTCCTCCCTCTCCTCTCTCACCTCTCTCCCCTCCATCCCTTCCCTTTCCCTTTCTCTCCTCTCTCCCCTCCTCTCTCCTTCTTCTTTGCCCCCTTTCCCTCTCTTTTCTCTCTTTCCCTCTCATCTCCCTTCTTTCTCTCTCCCATCTTCCCTTCCTTTCTTGTCTATCTATTTTTCTTGTCTTTTTGTCTTCCC